GCCGCGGGGGTGGGAAGAAGGGGCACCATTTAACGCCGCTCATTGCTAGTCAAGCCGACATCCTGCAGAGGCACAGGGAGGCACGGATCCAAGGCACCGGGCGGTTCGCAGCAGCGGCTCTCCCGGGGCAGCCCCACATCCTGCGAGCTCCTTGGCCCCCTTCCTCTCCCCATCCGCTCCAGCACCATCCCGCTTCCCTCCTCCCAGGGGATGGAGCCCCCCCAGGCCAGGCTCCGCTCCCCCGGGCAGCGCCAGCGGCTGCCCCTGCTATGAAAGGGACCGCGCTGGACCCGAAGGGCGGCCGAGCTTTCCCTGGGAAAGCGCGTTGGGAGCTGCACGGCTCCTCCCTGGGACGTTTAGGAACCGGGAGCACTCAAACCGCCCTCCTCCCAGGCAGGATGATTTAACCCAGCAGCAAGTACTGCACCACGAGGGCGAACGCTGACGAGCTGCGGGCACAGGCGGTGGGTACGGCAGGGCGACCGCCGGTTAGACGCAGGCGTCCTGCTCTGCCACCCCGGTTCACGCGGAGAAGCGGAGGAGAGATTTTGCAGACTCCAGCGGACACCATCTTTTATGGGACTTTTTTCTTTTTTATTTTCCCAGTCACAAGAACACGTGTCATTAGCGCCGACTCCTGAAACGAGCAGCTGTTCTTTGGCCATTACTGCTCCAAAATTAACCAAGACGGAAGAATTCAATTGCATCCCTCCCCCCAGCCCTGCTGAGTGTGCTCGATTGAGGGATCGAGAGCATCTTTTGCTCCGAGTTCAGGGCATCCTAGTGCCTGAGAAGGCGTCTGCGCCTTGGGTAAAGCAGGAGCACGAACGCATCAAACCCCACCGCTGCCAGGGACGGAGCAACCCCGGAGTGAATGTTATCGGCAGCAGCACCGGTGTCTCGGAGACACTCAAAGCTGCTTGGCAGGAACTCAGCCAACAACCGGGAGGGAGGATAATCTCCAGAAGGGACAGCCCCTTTCTCCCTTCCGTTCTCAATCTCTGCGAGGAGATTTCAAGGCCCCCAAAGAACAAAAAAAAAAAGAAAAAAAAGAAAAAGAAAAAGAAAAAAGAAAAAAAAGCCAGAGCAGAACCAAGCAAAAATAAAATAAAGAAACAGGACACAGCCACAGATGAGGGGCAGCGCAGGGTCAAGCGACACCTGCTAGCGATGGCCTTGCAAGGCAAGCCCGCAGCTGGGGAAGGGAGGGACCGGCCGTAATTCCATCAACGGCCACAGTAAACAAATAATAAATAACGGGAACCAGTAAACAAAGCTGAGGCATAATCACAGGCTTTGTCAGAGCTAAAACCGAATCCAAATTTATATCCTCACAAGGAAAAAAAAAAAAAGTCAGTGCCCATAAATTTACATACCTTTGAGAGCCATGAATGGCTTGTTCTTGGAACGGGGGACAATGCGCTGGCAGAGCTGGTGAAAGCGGCCCTGTTGGGCCACTCGCCCCCCTCGGACAGGTGGCCAGCGCGGAGCCAGCGCTGGGCTGTGCTCACAGAGCTGCGTTCATCAGCCCGAGCGGGGAGACCCGTCCTTGCGGGGGACCCCAGCCCCCACACCCCACCTTTCCTTTCCCTTCCCCAAAGAACAGCTCTCCCACGAGGTACCGCCAGCGCTCGCACCGGGCTTTTCCAGAAGGCAGAACCGCCGCCTTTCTCGGGAAAAGCCCCCAGGATGCTGTGAAGATGCACAGAGCTGCCTGGAAATGACCCTGCTTCCACCACACTTTAAAAAAAAAGGGGTGTTTTGTTTTGTAAGAGGTGGAGCTGGGAGCAGGGCTGGGAAGCACAACTCAAGCAGACACATACCTGGGATTTTGACTGAATCCTGGGCAATTCTGTTCTCCTCTCCGTCCAGGTGCTCCAAGCCCACCACTTCTGCCTTCGCAGGGGCGTCCTCCGTTGCAGACAAGGTGGTGTATGTGCTGATAACCAGTATTCCCAGGCCAATCCACAGTATAATCTGCACAACGGGCCAGAGCTTCGGTTAGCGCAGCAAAACAAACGGGACCGCTCTGTAGAGCATTCTTCATGCAAACAGTGTCTCCAAACAATTCAAAGCTCAGTGCAATCACACATGTCAATAAGAGGGAGAGAAGAGGAGAGAAATTTAAGAGGCGAGAAACAAAAAACAGTAGCTTTTGGCTGAGGTTTGTATTTGGACGTAGAGACATACCAGTGAAAGTTTCAGATGCTGGAAGCTGTTGAAAAGGCGACTCCCGTGTCAGAAGGGCTCGAGAGCAAGTGGACAGGATGTAAGGGTGGAAAAATGCATGGGGCAGACACTGTCCAGCTGCAAAGACTCATTCCCTGGTATTTCCAGCAGCCACATTAGAACACCATGAAATCAGGTCTGGCTGAGAACAGAGGTGCCCGACCTGTTTACAGCCTGGAAAGGTTTCTAGGGAGCTGTTTAAAAACTCTTAGTTTTGAAGAATAAGATGCCCACACACAAGTCCTGGTGGCCAGTGCTCCAGAAGCCGATAAGAAGTAACTCACTGGTTTCCAGAAAGCTGGGACCAAATAGAATAAAAAACAGAAAGAGAGAATCTGGATCCCGGGGAGGGAAGGGCTCTGCAAATGGCTTAGCTCAAAAAGGAGAGTGACCACCGCCAGAAAGAACATTTCTACACCTTATTATCTAACAGTAAACTGATCTAAGAGGATCTAATTCCACATAAGCCAAAAGAACGAACAAAAAACTCTCTGCACAAAATAAAAAAGTATCTCGGAGCGTGAGCAATTCACGGGGTAACGAGAGAGGGACAAGCAAGACGACGCACAGCAGCAACGGGGGCAGAGGAACATCTGCCACGGTCGGTGCCAGCACTGCCAAATGCCTGCCCGCTCCTCCAAACGAGAGCGGCACCAGTTCAGAGCGCCGAGCCGATGGACTGCTGGCCGACAACGCGGACTGGGGAGATTTAATTAAACTCTAATACATTATTTTTACCTAGTTAATCATTGCAATCGTCACAGTAAGGGCTTCTCATGGAACCTGGTTTGCACATCAACGTGCCACTGGGAATGACTGGTAGGAGAAAGTCAGCAAGAGTTTGTGCCGAGGAAGCCAGCAGAGAAGCGGCACCCTCTGCCAGAAACTCGGGTCTCCCCAGAAACCCCTTTTCACAGCAGACCACGGAAGCAACAGGAACCACCGCAGGCGAAACAGAGCGCGCTTCTGCAATGCTGGGAAGCCGAAAGTTTGCAGCAAATTGGTATTTATGATGCAGCCATTCCCCCCTCTCTCCCACCCCTGCTGCGTGTGTGCTGACTGCAGGCTGCTGGGGAGAGAACACCACCTCTTCCACCACATGTCTCACAAGAACGACTCGCTATGCACGCTGCACGAGGCGACCGTAGAAAAGTCTCGATCTGCAAAGGCAAAACGCTGCTTTGGGACTCGACCTTGTGGCTGCCCAGTCCAGCAGGAACCACACAAGCTGCCCAGCCCCTTTGCAGAGCGGTGCAACACCCAGAGTTACTGGTGGTGCTGGCTTGGGCTGTGACAGCAGCTCACGACAGGCCCACACCCCGCAGGGCTCATCCTCTCCCCCCCAAAACCCCGACCCTGCAGCGCTTGCATCACGATTCACAAAAAGCACAACAAAAGGATGTAACTCAGTGTGGGGAAAACCAGGAACGGCCGCAGGGGAGCAGCGCTCCAACTGGAAGCTGCCAGAGGGAGAAAACTGAAAATAAAAGGGAGAAGCGAAATTGAAAGGAGAAGTCAAAACACCGGCAGCCCCAGGGGAGAGAGGAGCAGGCTAACGCCTCCCTCTCCTTCCCTGGGCTGAGGGAGATCGCCCAGAAACACGGGCCAGCGGGGTCAGAGCCTCGGGCCCAGGAGCCCCCGTCCTCAGCACGGCCCTGCAGACAGACAGACGCCTTCAGAAGGAAAAGGGACGTGAAGCAGCTCTGGACAAGGGGCGAACAGCATGGCTAGGGAGCAGAGGCCAGACCTTCGAGAGGTTGCAAAGGAAACAGCAGTAAAAGCTGCTCCCTGCCTTGCCGCGTGGGTGCACAAAGAGCAGATATCCTGCCACCCGGCTCGGGCCAAAAGCGGAGTCAGCAGGTCCCTGCCACCGCTGCCCTCGGCTTGGAGCTCGTCCACTTCCTCCCCTCACACAATCCACAGCCCCGTTGTGCGACTGGAAGGCTCTTCTGGCGTCTTCCAGAAACAACAGCGGAGAGGAAGAACGTTTCCATAAAGAGGATCTATTCTGGTGCCACAGGAACTAGGAGCAACGTGGGAGAGAAGGGAGCTGTAGGAAACGGCTGAAAACATTAAAATGTTTTAAAAGGGGTTTTGTTGTTTCTTATCTTAGTGGGGAACCGCGGGCTCGAATGCCTTAGCTGCAAACCCCTTTGATTGTTTAACATTTGGAGTTCATCTGTGAGCTTCCCAGAGCGGCGGGTATGGGCACACATGGCAGTCCATGAACAGTCCACAGGCTGGGCTGCCCGGGAACCAGCAGCCGTCCCTCGCACTCCTCCTCACCCACCCTGTCAGCAACTGAAGGCCAGAATAAAGAGGTCCCCAATTTGGCTTAATTCCACGGAGAGACGAATGACATGGAAAACCAGGCGGTTTGTACTCAAGGGACCACCGAGGCTAACCTGGCAATGGAAGGAAGAGGAACGTGGGGTGCAAGGAGCTGGTGGCTCAAGGAACCCCACACAGGCAAGAGTAG